TTTCTTCCAGATGGGATGGAAAATTCCCCCTTAAGCTTGGTCTTTGGGTAATTTTTAAGCTTCATGAAGAAGGCAAGACTTGAATTTAATTTATGAGACTGAGGTTTTGCTTTTATTTAGAAAAAATTTTACCCATGGGGGGGTTAATTTTTTGAAAAATAAGTACTAAAGTTGAGCTTTATGTTCTCTAAGAATTATCCCTCTTTCAAAATGGCTTGATAAAACACCACTTCCTGTCCAGAGAGGAAGTTATTTTAGCTCAAGGACTGAAATATTTAGCAGATCTTTAGACAAAAGGAACAAATTACATTTCTCTCTGGCTTAAAAAGGGTGTTTGAGCCAGAGGGGGTTAAGAAACCCTCCCTCCTCCCCCTGATGGGGTGGTCTGGAGGGGCAGGGAGGTGTGGGGGTAGGGGTCCTCAGGCTCCCTGGGATGGAGGATCTTTTTTTTTTTTTGGTGGAGATGAAGGGGTGGGTCTATGGTACATCACCTGAGTTGTGGGGTAAATGTAGAGAGTGTCAATCAAAGGCAGAGCTCTCAGAGCTGGGAAGGAGGCTCTAGATGGCGGCTGTGCCTTAGAGAGAGCGCGCTCTGCTCCCTGCCTTCTCCTCACTTTACGCAACTTTCCCTAACTTTAGGGCAGCCTCAGGGGGCCCCCGCAGCCCCCTGACTCTCCTAGTCTCTTACTGGGGTAGATTCGAACCATTTTTAGGGAGAAAAGCAGCTGTTAGGAGCTTTCTTTTCGTGCCTTGTTGGAAAGAAGCAGCCGTACTGAGAGCCCAGGTCGTTGTTTTTTCCAGCTTAGAAGCCATGGCGCACCTCCATTTTTGTGCGCTCTCCTAATGAGGTTTTTTTTCTTCCGGACCCTTTTTAGTATTAATTGTTGCTTTATTTTTTTGACCAGTTAACCTATTTGAAGATTGTTTTATTTATTTTTCATTTTTTAACTGAGAATTTTGCTTTTTATTTTTAATTATTTGGGATCTGATATTTTTCTACTACTAGATAGGACTCTTGCTTTGGACCTACTACATGGATCAGGTAAGTTCATGATCGTTAGCGATAATTTTGGAGATGTGTATGTTTAAGTTTTCTTTATTTTCTATAAATATGAGAAATTCCTGAATGACGCAATAAGATACAGAGATTGTTATTTGTATCCAGTGTGTTACTTTGAGAAACTTTGCTTATTGGTAGTGATGATTCCTCCTGTTCGGTTTATCTTCTTTTTTTCCCTAAGGAAAAAAATGGAAATATTTTGGTTTTTTTTGGTGTTTACCGCTTTTGTTTTAAAACAATATCGTTGCATCGTCAGGACTTTGTTCCTGATAATAAAAACCATCGATAGAAGCTGGGACCTTACCTTTCTTTCAACTTTTGACAGTAAATACCTGGGCACAGGACTTCAAAGCAAACACAGATTCCCCCTCCCCCTTAATATTTAAGAATTAAAAGATGATGAGAAATAAGGACAAAAGCCAAGAGGAGGACAGTTCGCTACACAGCAATGCATCGAGGTATGAGCTATCAACTTTCTTCCTTTTTTCTCTATTTTGGGGAAACCTCAGCTTACATTATTTACCTTGACAGGCAAGGGTAGCTGTCTGTCTTATTTTAGGTTTTTTAATAATTTGGGTTTGTTTTTTAAAGCATGACCTTGAGATTGCTAATATGCCACACCCTAATTTTTTGGTAGCAATTTATGAAAGTTGAGTTGTGACTTAAGGCCTCTTAACAGCAGTCAAAAGGTAAGGTACCTTTATTCAAGGGAGCCTTTCCTGTAAACTACAGTTTTTCTGTCAATAAATTTCAGTTTTTAGGTTTTTGTGCTGTAGAAAAATGACCTTGTCGGTTTAGCCATTGCTGCATTGCACCATTTTACATACAAGGCAAATTTTTTCTTTGAAGAATCTAGGATACCCAAACTTGTAACTGAAGGCCATAGAGGAGCCTTGTGGTAGTAAATTATAGTAAATAGACATTTGAGAAAGTTATATGAATGAAAAAATGTACATTTAAAAATGAAATTAGGAAAAGGACTCTTTGACTGATGCCTCTCAGTTTATATTTTTATTTGACTCTATATTTCTTTTGATACTCTTGACATTTTAGGAAATTTTGATAAGATTTATCAAAACCTTTACTTGATGGTTACAGTTTCTGTATTTGTGAAATCTAATCTGTGATTACAGAAATCCTGGAATACTCTCAATACATTTGTTTTGTGTTTGTTGCTGTGACTATAATTGTATATTTTACATTTAAAATATTTTAAGTTTTGCATTGATATATACATTCAGACAATGCTTCCTGACCGGTAGATGTAATACCTTATTCTCGCATTTTAGTTGTAGCTGCTTTAAATTTATTGATTTACTTTGACAGAGTCGCCTGGAATGCTTTATCTTCTGAAGCTTAACAAATGTACTGTTTGTTCAAATCATGATTTGTTTCACATCTGTTGGACTACGTTTTAGCGACTAAGTAATAAAGCTTGTAAGATGTGTTGTTGTATGATCTGTATATTTTTAAAAGTACATACGAATGCATTTCTTGATGTATTGTGAATTGTCAATGTTATAAATCTTAAGCAGTTAATAAGGTGGTGATTGATTATGTGATTTCCTCCCACCCCTCCAATTTTGCTTTTACTGTTAGGATATAATTTCTCTATTAGTGAATTTTAAAGTTTTGAACGGGGTTTATTACAAACGTTGAATTTTTGTTTCATTAAAATATTTTGACCCTTGCCTTTAAAAATACTGTTCTAAATTCTTTTTGCAAATTGAGTTGTCACGTAGTTTGGACTGTCTTTAAACTGACTTGCCCATGTAAACTGTTACGGTTAGATTAGGACAGCAAACTGTACTAGACCTACACTGATTATTCTGAAAAGGAATGGTGATTTGAAGAAAATAGGAATCCCCTGGTATAGTTGACAAATTATTAAAAGATTCAGTATCTAAAACTGTTACTCCCTTGAGTATGTATGATTTACATAGTTTCACGTGGCTTTTGACTTATGCAAGGTTTGTGGTTAACGTCATTGATCAGAGTCTGCTTTCTAATTTAAAACATCAAGCGGTGTTGCTGTTCTTTTTTAATAGTTTACTCTCATCTAGAAAACAACTTGGAAGTTGTCCTGCATTTGCTTACTGGCAGTTGGGGTTACAGTGTAACAAGGAACATGCACTGTAATTTTTAAATGGATTTTGTCAAAGTATATTTTGATTCGTACACCTGATGAATGTCAAAATATTTCAGGGACTCTTTGAAGAGAAGATGGGAGTTTAAATTAGTTACTCTAAATTGTGTACCTTAATAAATGTACATAATTATGACATCACTTCCCTTTTAAAATTGTAAGGCTAAAGGATGTTAGTGTTTTACTGCCGTGATATTTTCTGCCAGCTAAAATTAAGGAGACTGTCCAGGTAACTAAACTAGTACTTTGTTCCTTCATCCATTGGAATTTCTCATTAAGGACCTAGTTTCTATGGCACAAATTCTAGTGTTTAGGAAATACTACAAAAAACCACTTTTGTAGCCTGAGCCACAGGAGAGGAAGGGAGGAGTTTGCAGGTCAAGTAAACTTTGGTCTGAGAATTACTTTAGGGTCTTGAGTGCAAGTTAGGCAAGCCTGGTATTTTACTGTTGGAAATAATGCAGTACTTAACAGTTGGAGCGACTATGTAAATTTGTTATTGTGTTGTTTTGACGTTAATGCTTATGTTATACTTTGTATATCATGGTTTTTGAAGATTAAAAAGAACTTAGAAAAATACTGAAAAAATTTATCTGTAAAGTTTATAAGTATTTGAAGCAAAATTTTAGTGATGGAGCTATATAGAAATGTATATATACCACACACTTACCTACATACTCTGCAGCTTGGAGTAACATTTCATAATACCAAAGAATGGAAACAGGAGAGAAGGAAATGTGAATGTAATTGTGTGCACGCACACAAAGAGCTCTTATGTGTTAATAGGATCTTGAGTTTGCAGTTTATACCTTAAAAACTGCAACAGTTTATTAATTTATCTCCGAATCGTCTGCCTTTGAACCAGATTTATTTTTATAACCTGAGGTGTGGGCAGAATCTGAGTTTTAATGAGTCTTTCAGCAGTTACTCTAAAAGCCTGGGATGATGATAAATGGCAGAATGGAGTTGCTTGTGGACGAACAGGCAGATTTTTAAGTGGCAGCCATTTTATAATGCTGATAATTTTTAAGAATCGGGATTTTTGAGAAAACAAAATAAAGTGAATTGGAACCTCAAATACCAAAACCTTTTACTCTCCTCTCCTTTTTTTAGTTCTTTGGTGCTGAAATAAAGGGCAGCTTGGTAGGTAGTGCAGACAGAAGCTCTGTGAGCCCCTGGCATCTTGGTGCAGGTCCAGCTCAGTCACAAAATGGCTGTTCCTTTGTGCCGCAGCGCTGACAGACATACTGCATTGCACTGTGTACTCGCCAAACAGCAGGAAGTTGCCGTGCCGAGTTCAAAGGCCGGCCGGCGCCGTCGCTGGCGCCGAGCGCTGATTGGCTGTGCGTGCGCCTGGTAACAGCAGGTCAACAGTGGCGGCCTTCGGGTTGGCCCCGCCCCGTGGCGTCAGGCGCCCAGCACCCGGGAGGAGCGAGCGCTGTGACGTTGAGCTGCGTGCGCAACCCGGGTGGTTTCGCCGGCGAGGCGGCTCTCGACGGGAGGGAAGGGCCGCGGAGGCCGGGGACTCTCCGGTGGGCGGCCTGAGCCTGACCTGTTTGGCTCGGGCAGCCCTCCGCCTTTCCCTCGAGCCGGCTGTACCCTGCTGCGCGGCTTTGCCCATTCCTCGAAAAGGTTTTCCTCTTTTAGAAGCGGCTTCTACTTTCGGAGAAAGTGAAAGGCACTGGTTGGAAACCTTGAAATCGGAGACCTACCAGTTTTGTGTATTTTTCGGTTTCCTTTCTCATATCGTAGCGGGTCTTTTTTCTTGTTTCTTTTCACCTTTTTTCCCTCGTGTGTGAAGAGATTACTGAGCTTAATTTTGTTAACACTGACCAAAACCTTTTCACTGTCACAGGAGATATTTTTATTTTAGTTGAAACGACTTAACGGGTGTTACAGCTCTTGTTTATTAGTACATGGCTCATAAACAAAGGGAAGATAATTTGAGCTTGTCCCCGTGCATTTTTACATGGTGCCACCATACATTTTCTCAGTTGGCACTTGATGGAGAAAAACTCAGGTCAGTATGTGCAAAATGATTTATTTTTAAGATTAACAACGTGATGGTTAATTAGGAAACAGTTTAGGAATTTTCACTTAATTATAAAACATAGGGATAACTTAAAAAAGTAACAGGCACCCATTACTGTGCAAACAAGTTCTAGAAAACAGCTGTTAAGTGTTAATAGCACTTGATAAATGACTGACTCCCAAAGCTTGGCTGATTGTGGAATAACCTGGCAAAAGACATCTCAAGGGTCCCCATTCTGGAAATTTTGATTAAGTCCTGGTGAACCTGGTAAAATGCCCTGGTAAAAAACCCTTTCAAGGATATTCTGGTCTGGTTGGGAAAAAAAAATCACAATTTACCTCTGATGACTGAGAGTAAGTCACAAGTAATGAGTTTAAGCACGAAGGAAAAGTGAATAGTGTTTCCCCGATGTACCTGACAAAAAGTTATACCTTTTTTGGAGTATTTTTAATAGCAACAGGAGTGAGCTGTCATGTCCTTGGCCATAGTTAAGAAATTTTTTAATGAGTAAAATAACGTTAGTTCAGAAGAGATGTGGACTGCCTGAGCAAAAAGTAGGATGTTGCCTGGGTGTATTAAGTTTCTCAACAAAGTTTATAAAAGGTAAAATACACTATAATAATTGATTTTGTAGGTTTACATAGTTTTGGTTCTTCATATAAGGTAAAATTCACTATAATGATTTTGTAGGTTTGCGTAGTCTCATTTCTTTAGGAAGAATTCTTTGGATACTCCAGTTTATGGACACTTTAGGTGAAACTGGGTGTTCAAATTTATAGATTTGCTTATCAAAGATATTGTGAGTGATTTTTAAATTATATGCTCAAATATAAATTACATAAAATATTATAACAGCCTTGTAGAACCTTGTGATCATTAAAGTTTCGAACTTCTAAAATGCATGTAAAGCAACAAGAATAAAGGATCTTCCCTGTATTGAGATTGAATTATTGGATTGTATTAAAACTTTTAATACTTGCTGAATGCCCTTGAATGCCTAAGAAGTGTGATAGAATTAAGTAGGATTGCAGTCATGTTCCAGGATATAAGATGTTTTAGCCTAAAATAGATACCATTACTATGTGAGTTAAAATGTATATCATGATACAGCAGTTTATGAACTGCTTGCAGGGAACTATTAACTTTTAAAAAAATATTAGGTGAGTTCATTAAGTCTCTGTAAGTTTTCTTGTGTTCAGAATGGCATGAAGTGGCAGAAGTGTTTGTTGATCCCTCTCCTTTGGATTCGTGTTTTAAAAACCTGCAGTTTTCAATTGGATTTGGTTCTTTGGAAATTAACAGAATCTTTTGTAAAGATTAAGTCAGTGCAGGAAGGTGGGCAACAATATGTTATTGTTAAAGGATTTTAGTTGTAAAAGTTTCATTGTGACTACTTGAGAGGGGAATCTGGAAGTTCAGTGGAATTTTACCTGACAATATCTGAAACTCAGATTTTCACATTAATTTACGCCCCCACGCCCATATTCAGCAAACCTCCTGACAATTGTACCTCCTGAGCCACCTGAGATTTCCAAACTTCTGTTATTTCTTCTGTAAAACTTAAGAGTAAACTAGTTTCTGATATGAACTGAGTGACTGCTCTGTATGACATCTAGTAAATTTTTTTATTTTTTCAGCTTTTTTTCCTGAAAACCTTAGAACTCTATAGGCTTTTAAAATTGGTGGGGGGTGGTCACTTTAGCAAAGAAAGTTTTTTTTAAATCACCTAAGAGTTATTTTGTATGCAAATAAAAATAGTTATGTTGACTGACTTAGCACTGGATGCATGTTGATATAGGTGTGTGTGTAAATCCCTCCTGCATTCCAAACTGACTGGACATTGAATTCAAGATTTTTTTCCCCAGCAAAATTGCCTTTTACTGATTTGGAACTTTAGTGTTACTAGTGTAAAGCCAGAAAAAACAAAAGTTGACTCCATCATCAAATGCCCAGGACTATTACATGCTTTATTTTATAATCAGTAATTCAGCACAGGGTTGGAACACATTATTTGCATGTCTGCTATGACCTTTCTCCTACTCATCAGTTTGAAGTCTGGTAAGACAAGTCTGGGGACAGAGACCTTTCTTCCTAAAAAACAAACAAAAGTGTGAGTGCAGTTTATGAGGTGGGGGACAAGCCTTTGCTTTGTGAAATCATGGAGAACCTAAGTGAATGGGAGCTATTCATGCAACATTTTGAAACAATTCCAATTTAGCAATTTATCATTAACATGTTTGGTCACATATAAGCCTTTTTGGTATTTCAATTGACATCTTCTGGACTGTGTATCATACAAGTACTGAAGTTCCCTTTATGGTGATCATTCTGATCTTGAAGGGAAGGATGATGCTGAAGAACTTTGGCTAAGGCATCATTCTAAGGAGAGTCCTGATTTTATACTTAGGATTCAACTCTGATGAGTTATTTTTGTCATTAACTGTCACCTTACTGCTGCCATAATACCCACCAGTGCAGTGTTTACTTAGTACTAGAAATTTACTTTCCCCCCATTTTAGGCTAGTGAAATAACTCATTGCTATATTATTTGGAATTTTCTCATTTTAAAAATTCTGTTAGTGATAACCTTCATTGGGATAAAGATGAAAAAGTGTAATGCCTGCGGTGTGTTTAGCAAAGAGCCTGTTACATTGAAGTGCTCAGTAAATGTAAGCTATTAGTAATATTTTATTCCTGATGCCTCATGCCACTGTCTGACTCCTCTTCTGAACTTTGTAAGGCAAGTCCCTCTTAGGAGCGAGGCTGTTTCTGAGGGCTGTGGTTGGTGTCCTGGCCTCCCACAAGAGGCCGGTTAGGTTTGTTAAAATTATTTTAGAAGGCAACCCCCCTTTTAGTTAGTTGAAACCTTGGGTGTGTTTTTCAGTTAATCCTTTACTAGAACTTTTTTTTTGTGGTGTGAGAAAGTCAGCCTTTTGAAGGGAGCATATGATTCTGTTCTGGAGTAGAACAGCTTCTTGTGTGAGTCATAGCCCTACTCTTGGCAATCACTCTGATAACTTTTTTCCTCCTGGAGCTAGTAATTACCGCCCTGGTTTACCCTCTGCCTCATTTCCTCTCAAGCTGTACAAGAGTAAATAATGAAAACCAAGGTGCAGTGCTATCTTGATAGAAATGAAATGTAACTGCAGTAATATTTACAACCGGTGACAGATTCCTGCAGCTTGCTTTTAGTGATCAGTCTTCACCGTAACACCGTAATATTTGATGTAGCATAATGCCTAAGGTCCGATTTATTCGTTAGAACTATGTTCTCAAGATCGGTGTGGATTTGGTTTCCACCACTTCTTCATATCCCTTTCTTTTGGTTTATGAGTTAGTCGAGTTCTACTTTTGTCCCTTTATCAGACTGTGGAGACCTTCTAAAAATACCAGTGTCCAGCCCAACCCCCCAGGATTGAGGTTTTCAAAGCTCTCCATGTGTTTTAAATTTGCATGTGTTCCATATGTTTCAAATCTTCTGATGGAGCACTTCTTGATGTGATGTTCTTTTCTAATTCTTGGGCTTTCCATTGCCTGCCCCATTTATTTTCTCAATCCCCTTTTTAGGGCAGTTTTAACAGCAGCTTAAATTTAGAGGCCTAGTAGCAAAGGTGGGTGGGGTGCTACTAAAGGGGAGCTGTATGCTTGATGGAGGGAAAAGAGTTTCTCTATTAAATGTCACACCAACTACAGCCGTGGCATACTTTATAACATATATGCTGATGGAGTTTTTTCAGCCAAAAATTCTGAATTCCTGTCCGAGCTGTCTGTCTTTAATAGGGCTTCCTCTTCCTTACTGGACTTCTCTACTTAAATCCTTTTTAGGTACCTCCAAAGGTTTGGATTCTAGAAGTGACTTTGAAGTTATATTCCATTCAAAAGTGTTTCTCTCTGGTTGATACAGGTACTTGTTTGAACAAGGGCTAGAGCAGTGGACCTGGGCTATGCTGTGAAGCAGTTATTTTGAGTGGTGTTTGTCCCCCTTTGTTGGGTTGTGAGTTGTAACCAGCATTAAAAAAGAGATTAGATAAGCCTCTGGGTATTGCATTTGTATGAGTTATTCCTAAGTCCAGCAATGCCTGTCATGCTGGAAATGGTTCAATTTGGATTTTATCATGAAGGAAAGCAGCATTTGGTAAACATTTTATTGAAAAATACCAGAGTAGACTACATTTTATTGAGTTCTGCTAGGCACCTCTTTTGAGGGTTTTTTAATGTATACTTTATTTATAATGTGGGAGAGTTCGGGTAAGAGAAATGCTAGTGACCTCCTTATAGGTTAACTAACTTCCTAAATTAACTGTCACAGAGGTCTCTTTTGAAGGTTGGTAGGTGGTCCCACTTCCTGCTGAGCTCTTTTATACCCATGCCATTCTGTTCCTTCAATTGAATTGTATGCATAACAAGGATTTGTAGGTGCTTCTCAAATTTGTTTATGCTGGGTTTGCTTGTAATTTTGCATTTCAATTAAATACCAACAAATAGATGAAATGATTGTGAGATGTTTCAGTGAAAACAGTTGATTGCTTTGGAAAGACTCAATAATAGTTGTCTTTTATAGTGCCCACTGTGAGCCTGGAATTGTTCTAAGTAATGGGTTATTTGAGTAATCACGATGTTTATGAGGTAGGTCTGATTATCGTCCCCTATTTTGTTCATAGAAAACTGAGACACAAGGGGGAATAAATGGTGGAATTTCAAACACTTGGTAGTTTGGCTTCGCTGAAGCATCTCATCAAAAGTTCTTGTCAAATTAGATGGGGAAGAGGAAACTAGTGCACTGTGGAAAATAGTGAAAGGCTAGAATAATTCTGTACTCTGCTTTTCCTAAAAAGCTTTGCATTTTAAAGAAACCAAAAATACAAAATTGTAATGTGTTGTCGATGCAGTTTATGACAGAAACATGATGCTGTTCAAAAGGCCATCAATTTATGTAAAAAATTTCAAGGCAAGAAACAGCTTCTGAAGTGATTCCCATGGAGGTAGTA